TTATCTAGTGATTTTTTTTTCTGAAGATATACTGAAATGCCACACACTTAAGTTTTTGTTTTTTGCGCATCTGGTTTATATTGCATGCCAAATTTATAATAAATAAATAAATACTGTACCAGTATTACTGTACCTGTTTCACTTGCAAAATATCTTTAATGTTATTAAATGGTATTATAATCCCATTCAATAGTAATCCTTTTGAAGCAAATATGAGGCATGTCATGGCAAAATGGTTAAGTTGTCACACAGGCCTGTATTGAGTAAATGAGCTATAAAATATGGGAGCTCAAAAAATTGCCTAAAAATCCAAATTTGTTTTTCACTATAAATCAACAGATTAATGTTTTATTAATCATGTACCAAAGTATTAGTTCTGGAAGTGGTCAAGAAATTGTTTATTTAATGTTATTTTGATAGTTCATTCTATTAAACAGTGTATGCACAAATAACTTTGAAAGGCAATTACTCAAAAGCATGTTTATCTTGATTCTAAAAGTACTGTACTTTCACTTTCCAATAACTTAGGCTTGAAATGTCCAATTTCAATGAATGACCCCTCATTTTAAAGATCACATACTCAGGTATCTGAAAATACCAATAACTTGAATTTTAATTTTTGCTACAACTTAGCCATTTTGCCACAACATGCCTCATATGTGGCCGAGATTTAGAAAACAAATTGTGAGGATTAATTTTGAAATATGTAATGTGCGAAGTTGATAGTACAGTATAAAAATGTGGCTCAATATATACAGGAACAACTATTTTAATGTATGGCTTTGTACAGTTTTGTCTAAAGTTATTCTATGAAACTGCTTATTTTTTAATGCCTGGATTATGCCTATGTCTGCATGCTGATCAATTTGGTATTGGAATTTAAGAAAAGCTTCAATTTTTTTGCTATACACCATTTTTTGTTTAGTATTTTAAAGTATATTGTTGAACTTGCCTATGTCATATTGAGAAATTGTTTGACCCTAACAAAATTTGACTTGCACTTACGGTAATGGAAAACACAACAATTCGGCATGTAAAATTAGATTGACTTAGAAATTATTAAGAGTATATTATTAGTCATCTTAGGCAATTTTTAATTGCACTGCTCTATTTATCATGTCTGATTGTCTTGTATTATTTACCATAGCCAAGATTTCTTCTTTCATGATGATATTCAACATCCATATTTTTGGTGCTTCACTTAGTTATTGTTGTACATACAGTAAATTCAAGACTACTGGTGTTACTAAATAAATATTTTGAAACACAATTTATCATCCTTATACATGGCAATTAATTTATTACAAGTGTATTTTCTCACAGTTAATATAAAATTGTTTTACTGTACACAGAATAAAGCAACATTGAAGCAGTTAGGTATTACAATATATATCACTGCATTTTACACACTATTTATTATCAAAATATTAAATATATGGATTTATAGTTACTGTAGTTTATACCAATGTAAAGAATAGGGAAGAACAAGTTACATTTATATGCTGTATTAGCTTAAACTTTTAAAATATGAGACTAGAGTGGGGAAGATACAAAAAACATTGTACTGTACTTAACAACAAAATGTTCTTGAAATCAACTTTGCTGGCCTATCCGAATCGATGGCAACAATTTCAATTACAGACTAGGTC